AGTCAGAAAGATGAGGAACTCGTGAATATTGTATGCATATATATCTCATATATTGTCATACTACAACATTCTGTCAGACTTTGTACCAAAGTAGAACAGCTTCCAAACCAACACACATACACATACAGACCCTTTCCAAAAAAAATTAGAATGTCATGGAAAAGTTGTTTAACTTCCATAATTCCATTAAAAAAATCTTTAATAGATTAAAGATTCAGGGTCCACAATTTAAATGATTTCAAGTATTTGTTTATTTTTACATAATTTGAGCTTCCAGCTCATGAAACCCATTAAAACAGGAATTCAAAAAATTAAAATAATGTGGATAAATCAGCCCAAATGTTGCAGGGCATGAATGTTTTAAACTGAGTGTGACACTAATCATCTATTAAACTCAAAGCACCTGCACAGGTTTCCCCAGGTGTCATTAAATTGCTTCAGTTTGGTTCAATTGTCTCAATTCGGTTCAATATGGGGAAGACTGCAGACATAACAACTGTCCAGAAGACCATCATTGATGCCCTCCATAGGATGGGTAAGTTCATAGCTAAGGAGGCTGGCTGTTCACAGAGCGCTGTGTCCAAGCATGTCAATGGAAAGTCTAGTGGAAGGGCAAAATGTGGCAGGAGAAGATGCACCAGCAACAGAGATGATCGTGGGCTTCAGTGGATTATCAAACAGAGGAGATTCCAGAATCTGACAGAGATCCAGAAAGAGTGGAATGAAGCGGAGTCACAACTTCAAAAACCACCACATTCAGACGCATCCGGGAGATGGACTACAACTGTCGGGTTCCTCGGTTCCAGTGATAGTAAAGTGTGCCTTTCATTCAGAAATCAAGGTCCAAGGGTTTGGAGGAAGAAGGGTGAGGAACAGAACCCATACTGGTTGAGGTCCAGTGTGAAATATCCAGTCAGTCATGATTTGAGGTGCAATGTCCGTGCAGGTGTTGGTAAACTCTGCTTTCTTAAATCCAAGGTCACCGCACCAGTCTACCAGAATGTTTTAGAGGACTTCATGATTCCTTCTGCTGAGGATCTTTATGGAGATGCAGAGTTCATCTTCCAGCAGGACCTGGTCCCTGCCCATGCTGCCAGAAGCACCAAAACCTGGTTTGATGTCCATGCCACAGTGTTTGACTGGCCAGAAAACTCACCGGACCTAAACCCCATTGAGAATCTATGGAGTATTCTCAAGTGGAACATGAGGAGCACCAGACCCAAGAACAAAGAAGAGCTGGGGGTGTTGTTTCATGGACACATTGGTTCAAACTTTTATTGTGCTTCATCTACTGACTCGGCATGTACTATTGAGTGGAACAAGTTCGATGTTCCCACCGCTAGTTGGAATGACTCTCCGTCACATTCTGCAGCACACTGACTGCAACCTGCAGTTTATCGGATCTTAGATGGCCGAATCACTTCCACACCACCGAAGTAGTCTTTCCTCTCTTATCAGTTATGTCATCTGTTTTCTCTTGTGAAAGTTTGTTCAGTCACATTCTGACGGTCATGGGAACTCATTTTGAAGCAAAAACTTAACACACGTTGGTAATTAGCCTAGCCTAGCCTGCTACCGCTAACACCTTCTGGACTTGAGCTCTGTGTAACATCTACATCAACAGGTACTTACATATCCAAAAAAGTTAAATCTGGTCCTCTGGACATTCAAAAAAAACAAAAAACAAAACAAAGCAAAAAAATCTAGAAACGTTTCGTCTCTCATCCAAGAGACTTCCTCAGTCTGAGGTGCTGTTTTCAGCTCAGTCTCTTAAATAGCACCTTCTCAGAGTGGATCAACCAGTTTGCTGCTGACAACCAAAACCAGCTGATCACATGCTCAAGAAGGACCATCAGCCTAACAATGGATCATTAGCACACTGATGGCTGTTTACTATTCACAGAGGGCTGAGTGATACTAGCAATCACAGCATTGTAAGAGGGGGACAGTTGAACCTGGAGGCTCCACCCCTGTCTAATGATGGACAATTTCTTTTCACAAAGATGGCCTCCTTTACTCCTCTCTCAAACCATCGTTCCTCTCTGTCCAGGATGTGAACATCTTCATCCTTGAAAGAGTGACCGCTGGCCTGGAGATGAGTGTAGACCGCAGAGTCCTGGCCTGATGATGTTGATCTTCTGTGCTGGGCCATCCTTTTGGCCAGTGGCTGTTTAGTTTCCCCGATGTAAGACTGATCACAGCCCTCCTGA